GCCCGCCGAGCCCATCGCCATCCCGCTGCTAAGGCGCGCCGGCAGCAGCGTCGAAGACGTGGACGGCGCGGGCGGCCGCGACGCCGGGGGCCGCGCCAACGGCGTGGATGACGGGGCGCCGGCCAGCCCCGCGGACCCCTCTCTAGACCCAGAGACACTTGAGCAGCTGCTGCGCAAGGCCAGCCCCGCGGTCGGTGAGCTGCCCGCCGCCCCATGCAGCGTCGGTTGAGCGTTTCTTGGCAGGCGCGGCGGATGTGGAGGCGACCAGGCGGGAGCCTCTGTGGCAAAATGCAACGATTCCAGGCCTCGGAAGCTCAGGCGCTGCACCGCACGCAGCAGTGGTACCCACCGCATCACGCATACATACTATCCCTCAACGCGCACGCGGCGTCACGGCGGGACCCCCACGCTGCACAACCACCGCACGCGCAACCGCCAGGCGCCACGCGCTTCAAGGTGACCGACGTGCTGCGCGACATGAGCCTGCAGCGCGCCGCCCGCCGCGAGCTCGAGGGTTCCGGCCCTGACGCGGGCGCGCTGTCCACGGCGTCGGACCCCGACGCGCTGCTGCCCGGCGCGCTCGACGGCGCCGGCCACGAGGGGGAGGTGGACAGGCAGCGGGCGGCGGTGCGGGAGCTGGACGGGCAGGTGGCGGCGGAGAGCCGGGTGAACCGCGGGATGGCGGCGCTGCTGCTGGAGCGGCTGGACAGCAGCAGGAGGTGGGCCGGGTTCGTGAAATTGGGGCTTATTGAGGGTGGCCGTGCCATGTATGTGGGGGGATATGAGGGCCGCAGTGCCGCCAGTGAGGGGCGGCGTTGTGTAGGGGAATTTCGAGGGTTTGGCCGTCCCGCCAGTGAGGGCCGGAGTTGTACGGGAGGTTGCGAGGGTGGCGGTGCCGCCAGTGAGGGGCGGAGCAGGAGGGATTCCTCAGGACAGAGGGGGCCGGAGGGAAGCAAAGCATGTTGGTGATGGAGCGGCAGCCCAAGAAGCAAAGGCTGGCGGCAGCCCTGGCCGTTTGCCGTGTTCGCCGCGCTCCGTATGTTCGCCTCGGAACCGCCTGGCCAGCTGGCCCCTGTTTGCATCGGCATGCTGCGCGGAGCGCCTCGCTGTCGGCGGCGCTGCCCTGCCCCTTCTCTGTGTGCCTGCTCATCTACACGTCATCCCTCACCACAACCGTTGTAAATCGATCTTCATCCCCGCACCTTCCAGGGCACTGGAAGGCCTGGCCAAGCTGGTGGGCGGCATGGCCGACTGCCAGGCGGCCTACAGCGCCGCCCTCGAGGCCGCAGCGCGCCTGCCCCTCGCCGGCGACTGCGACGGCGCGTCGATGCGCCCCGCGATGGCGGCGCTCGTCGCGCTGCCGCAGGCGATGGGCGCCGCGCACGGGCAGGTCGCGCTGCTGCTGCGGGGGCTGGCGGAGGGCGTGAGGGCGCTGCACCGCGAGTACCAGACAGCGTGCAGGGAGATACGCGGCGGCGCGGCCACGGTGCGGCGCCTGGGGGGCCGGCATAATCGGTCCCCCGAGGACGAGAGGGTGGGGAGTGGAACCGAGGATGTTGTTTGGAATGCTCGCGCATGCACGAGCCGTCGTTGGCATCCAGCTCACGCGCCGCTGCCCGCGTACGCGCCGCCCGCGAGGCAGGTCCAGCGCGGCATCGAGTCTGGGCGGCGGCAGCTCGCGGCGGCGTTCCTGGAGCACAAGCAGGTGTGCGAGGGCTTCGATGCGGCGGTCGGCAAGGCGGGGCCGCGGTGCAAGGTGATCAGGGCGGTGGAGCAGGACCCTTGGGCCACAGAGGGGCGGCTGGTGCGGGAGCACAAGGCGCTTCAGGCCTGGCAGGTGGGCGGGGCACGGGCGCGGGCGGACGACGCGCAGGCGCTGCCACCGGGGAGGGGGGAGGGGTCATAAGGGAAGGGGAGGGCAGGGAAGGGAGGCGGGGCCGGGGACAGCAGGGAGGGGGCAAGCAGCGAGGGGCATGGGGGTGCAACCGGCGAGTTGACTTTCCCAGCAAGCCTTTATCTGGTCAGTTGACAGGATGTTGCACGCCATTAGTAAACACGCCGTGCACCAGCGCGGCCCATTTCACACACACACACGCACGCCGCCGTTGTGTCACACAATCACTAAGAAAACAACGGCTTCGCCCACAAAAACCACCCTGTACAAACCTCGTTGCCGACCCCCCACAAGCACTGCACAACACTGCAAATACACACACACACACACACACACACACACACACACACACACACACAGAACCCCCACGCGACTCCGCCCCCTCCCCAGGACAAGGAGCGCGCCTTCCTGAAGGAGTCCTTCGCGCGCGTCCAGACCCTCGAGGCACAGCGCGTAAAGTCCACCCAGGCCGCCGCCCAGTCCCTCTCCGACGGCTACGCGCGCGCGCTCGCGCCGCTGCCCGGCGCCGCCGCCGCGCTCGCGCCGGCGATCAGCGGCATCGACGGCGAGGCTGAGCTGGCAGAGCTGCACCGCGTCGCGCTAGACACGGGCAGCGCCGCCGAGGCGCTCGCGGCGCGGCAGGCGTCGGCGATTGACGACGCGAGCTCGGACCTGTTCTGCAGCCCCGAGATCCTGCGGCAGGGGCCGATGGAGGTCTGGGACGCGCGTCGGGGCGAGTGGCGGGGGGCGCACTGCGTGCTGACGCGCGCAGGGTTCCTGCACTGGTTTGCGTCGATGGAGGACGCGGCGCCGCTGGACGTGCTAAACCTGGGTGCGCTGGCTGGGAGAGGGCGCGCGGCGGCCGGGCGGGCGGCCGGGCTTGGGATGGAGCCGGCCGCGGTGGTGTCTGTTGGAAGGGGCAGGGGCGCGTGCGCCGGGCCTCGGCGTGGCTGGGGGTGAGAGCACATGCAAGGGCCCTCGGGCCCCTGCCTTGCCTGCAGACGTACGTAATCACCCTTCCACCTGCCGCGACCCCTCCCCTACGTCGCCGGCTTGCTCCCAATCAAATAATCTAATCAAAACGCGGTGCATAATCGCAGGACGCTGCCAGTTTGAGCAAGGCAAGGCGCCGGTGTTCAATCTGGTGGAGCTGTCTGGGGGCGCAGTGTCGTCGTGGCTCGGGGGCCGCAGCCGCAAGGCCACCTTCCAGGCTCCGACGGTGGAGGAGTGCTGCGAGTGGGCGAGTGAGAGCGGCCGCCGACCTCGACGCCGCTGCTCGTGCGGGGCGGGGGCGGGGCTCCGGAGGCGGGGGGGCGGGCGCTTGTGGTTGCTGTGTCGGCGCAAATGGGCAGCGCTGTGGGGCCGTGCAGGGAGCGGCACTGTCAGGCTCTGATGACTCTTGTTGGGGGCTTGCGTCGCTACGCTCGTCCACATGGGTGCTGATTCTCCACTGCACCTGTCCTCGGCCCTGCAACCCTCTGCCCTGCAGTCGCCCTCCGGGAGGCAATAGCCCTCGCCGTCAACGGCAGCGGCGGCGGCGGCGGCGGTGGCATCGGCGCCCACCGGCGTACGCACAGCAGCAGCACCGCAGGGGCAACATGAGGCGCAGCCACGAGGGCGGCGCTTCTAGTGCAGGCTGGTGACTCGTGACGCTGACCTGCCCAGACTGGGGCTTCATTTTCAAGGCTTAGGACTCAACAACTCCAAACAGACGGCTCCGTTTCAACCCAACCGGTTGTGTTGAGCCTACCACGCACTTTATCCGTGGCTGCGTACAGACTCTTGACCGGCAGCCGAGTGCCTTGTGACCGCTGGACCCTACTTTCACTCCTTAGCCCGCACTACGCACAGGAACTGCATCCAGCCGTTGGCACCTCCTTTTGTGCCGAACCAATTCCCACCATCCCACACCTCGTGCCGACAGCGTTGGCTGATGGTCGGGCGATGCAGGTGCTGTGACTCGAGGCATTTAGTCATGGAGGCGCTCCTGTTGTTGTAACCCACGCAATACAAAGGGGCGATTGACTCTGCTGTTCCAGCTCGCCAGTACCTTTGCAGCTTACAGTGATGCGCCCGTGGGCCGTGCTTCATACTGCGTGCGACCGAGCATGGGTGGTGGATGGTGCCACGCTGCAGGCGGTCCCTGCAGGTGGCAAGGCCCACGCAAAAAACTTGCAAGAATACAGAAATCAGCAGGCTCACGTTTCTGGCGCTCCAAACGCACGCATGCAGACCTGATTGAACATCAGCACTCCCTGCTTAATGCGCTGCCACGCCCATGTGGCCAGTGAGCCGCAATTTGCCCGCCCTCGACCGCTGCACCGCCGCTGCTGCCCCCGCCGCCACTGAAGCCTTGACCCGTCTTGTGGCGCAGCAGCGGCAGCGCAGGCCCCGGCCCTGCGGCCTCGACCCCACCATCAGAGGCTGCGCTCTGCTCCTCATCAACAGCCCACGAGACGCGGCGGTCGCTGCCTGCGAAGCCGCCACCGCTGCACTGGCAACCTGCCCCCGACAGTGCTGCAGGCGGCGGCGTCGCCGGCAGACCCACCCCTTGGCAAGGGGCCGAGGCGCCAGGCGTCTCTAGCGTCGACAGCTCGCGCCTGCCGCCTGTGTCCGCGGCGGCGGCCGCGGCGCGGACCTTTGCGGAGATGAGGGCGGCGATTACGGCGGCCCCGCCCACGGAAACGACCTCACCCGCCCCTGCCCCGCTGGCAAAGGAAGCGGCCGCGGCCGCGTGGCGCTCAAACTGTGAGACGAGGTCGCGGATGGAGGCTGTGGGCCGCTCGGCCATCTTGCAGTGCTGCACTTGCTGCTCTTGCTCTTGCTGCTCTTGCTCTTGCTGCTCCCCCAGGTCGCATTCTTGCCGCTGCTGCTCCTGTTCCTGCTGCACATACTGCTGCCCCTGCTGCTGGTGCCCCTCCTGCTGCTGACCCTGCTGCTGCTGACCGTGCTGCTCCTGCCGCTCCTCGTCCTCCTCCGCCTCCTCCTCCTCCATTTGCTCCTGACGCTGCTCTGTGACTACCACCACCCCCGGCTGCAACTTGTCCTGCCTCTGAGACTCAAGTGGTTGGCCTCCAAAATCCCGCGCTTCCCAGGGAACATCCTCCTGCCTCTGCACACCCACCGATCGCTGCAGCAGATGCGGCAGCGCACAATGAGATGCCGCAAGCTGCTGCTGCCTGCGGCGTGCGAGCGCCGCAGCGAGCGCCGCATGGGGTGGTGGCAGCTGGGCTGCAGCTGGAGCCTCTGCGCAAGCGGCCATTGAGCTTTCCAGACGGCCACCGCCACCGCCGCTCCTCCTGCTGCTGCTCCTGCTGCTGCGGCTGCGGCTGCTGCAGCGGCTGCGGCTGCTGCTGCTGTTGCTGCTGCTCTTGCCGTCATTTGCGCCAACATCCCCAGGGGTGGCCACAGCCAGTGCTGCATCTGGGGCAGAGAGCCTGGCAAAGCTGCCTTCAAGTCGGTCCTGTGGCGCCTGCAGCAGCGATGACACGGCGCTTTCACAGCCAGGGGGCGCCTGCCCTTCAAGCTGCCGCCGCTTGTGTAGCGCCAGCTGGAGCAGACCCTCAACACTGGCATCCGTCAGCTGGATGATGTGGAGTGTCCCGTATGGCTGCTGCTGCTGCAGCTGCTGCTGCTGCTGCTGCTGAGGGTGTGGCTGAGGGCTTGAGAAGCTGCAGGGCTCCTGCATTGCCGTCGAGGGCCCAGACGCCAACCTGATATCACCTTCCGGCAGCTGGATGCCGTCACTGATTCCACCATCTTCATCACAGCTGCTGTCCCCGCTGGTGCTTCTGCTGGAGTCCTCGCCGTAGCTGCTGCTGCTGTCGCTGGGCCGGTGTGCGGGCCCCTCCCACCTGGACGGCCCCGCCACACCGCCTGAGCTGCGGCGGCGCGTCCACAGGTCACGCCAACCGCCAGTCTGGTTAGCGTGGAGCCGTAGCGACAGGGTCTCAGCCGCCAGTTCTTCTGGTGCTTGCTCGACCACAGCGCTCGGGGCACCTTCGAGGCTGTCCGCCCCCGCCGCAGCCGCACCACCAGCGCCGTCGCTGCAGGACGCCTGTCCCACTTCCGCGGCCACCCCCGCCGGCCTCAGCCCCGGGTCCTCCCGCGTTTGCCGCGGCTGGCGCTGCTGCTGGACAGCCGCCGTGTCGATTGATGCCAGCGAGATGGTCAGCTCCATCGACTGGCGGCGGTCGGCATGGCCCAGCGCGCCAGAGCCCGCCAGGCGCGACAACGACGTGCGCAGCTCCGGCGGTAGCTCTACCAGATCTCCCTCAGCTGCAGGGACGACGAACCCATCCGCACAGCCGCCGTCCCTGGTGCTGCGTTGGGCGAACGGGCAGCCGTCAGACACCGTGGCTCGCCGGCGGCCGCGCGGGCCGGCCGGGGCGCTGGGAGACGCGCGGCTGCCGTGGCTGCGGCGGCGGGCCGGGCGCTGCCGCGTCGCGCCCCCCCTGGTGGCGGCGAGGGCGGAGAGCAGGTCTGACGCCGTGCGTGCATGCCTGCCGTGACCCGGCCCGGCCTGCGCCGCCGCCGGCGCCTCCTCCCAGAGGGCTGAATCCCGCCACTCCACGACATCGCGACCCGGCGGTGCCGCGACGGCGGTGGCGCTGCTGGCAATGCGCAGAATGCCGCTGGTTGGGGAGCTGGTCGACGCAGGGGAGCGCGGGCTCGCGGCGCTGCACGCGCTCGCGCTGTCGTTGTTGCTGTTGCTGTTGCTGTGGACGGCAACTGACACGTCCGAGTCGTTTGTGTCTGCCGCAGTTCCACACGTCAAACCAGGCACCTCATGCTGCTGCTGCTGCTGCTGCTGCTCCTGCTGCTGCTGCTGCTGCTCCGGCTTCTGCTGCTGCAGCAGCTGCTGCTGCTGTCGCACTGCAAAGGACGTCTGCGACTCCAGTGGGGGCAGCAGCAGCAGCATGTCGCTGCTTGAGAGCGCATCGACGCCCCAACCATCCATGGAGACCTGGCGCGAGTGCGCGCTCGCGCGCCTGCTGGGCTGTGACCCGCTGCTTCGCCCTCCCAGCTGCTGCGGCTGCTGGCTCCGCCCGCACACCGCATCGTGGGCCGCGTCTGCTGGCAAGGTGGTGGCGGACGAAAGGGTGTGGCCTGCCGCGGCAGCTTCCAGGCTGGACGGAGCCATGACAAGCCAATCGTGAGTGAAATTGCTGCTCGGTTTCCGCGAGTGGAAGCTGGCCCGCCTCTGGTGCCGCGCTTCGCCGTCCGCGCCTGCCCCACCATGGTCGCCGGCGTCGCCGCGGGCGCAACTGCTGGTGATTGATGGGGCGTTGACTGCGCCCCCCGCAGCCCCCTCTTCAGGGGGTAGGTCAAGGGGGCTGACTGAACGTGCAGCAGCCGCGGCTGACGCGACCACCTCCTCGGCAGTGGCGCCGCGGCTGCAGGCACAAGAGTGGTAAACGCTGTCGTCGCCTACCCTGTGCTCCTCCTGGCCGCCTGATGAACCGTCCACTTGAGTGGTCGCCGCCTCCGAGCGCGAGCAGCTGCAAGGTAGCTGCCCCGCTGCACCGCCGCCCGACGCCGACGAGAGACGGCGCTCCAGCTCCCTAGGAAGTTGGACAGGCATATCTGGTTGCTGCTGCTGCTGCTGCTGCTGCTGCTGCTGCTGCTGCTGCTGCTGCTGCTGCTGCTGCTGCTGCTGCTGCCGCTGCCAGTCGGCTGTGGCTGCAGCAGCAACAAAGGTGTGGATTTGCTCGCCGCCGGACGCGCCAGCAAACAGAAGCCGCTCCGACGCGTCAAGGCCCGCCCGGGCTGCCACTGCTGCAAGGGCCTCTGCCTCCGGCAGGAGCTGCCGCCCACCACGCCCAGAGAACGACGCGAGCGCCGACATGAAGTCATCGGACAACTGCCCGTGCGCGCCCCCCGGCACGCTGCCGCTGCGCGACGCACCCAGCCGCGCGCTGGACGCGCGCCTGCAGGTGGCGGGGCCGCCGTCCCAGCTGCTGCCCGCGGAGGAGGCGGACGCTGCGGCCAGGTGCGGCGTGGGACAGTCGGCGAAGGGCGCCTCGTGGCTGGCCTCCGCTGAGCCAAACTGGAAGTGGTCGATCGCCGCCAGCGAGGCCGGGGAGAGTGGGGGCGGGGGCGAGCCGCTCCTGCTCAGCACAGCTGCCGCGGGGCCGTACAATGTCTCTTGCGGCTCTGCCTCATGACTCAGCGACGTCTGCTGCGGCGGAGCGATGATGCCAACAGCTGCGGTGCATGGCTGCAGCTGCGGCCGTCCGTCGCTGTTCCCGCACGCCCCAGCTTCTGACTGTCCATCATCGTCATCTGTTGTGTCGGTCTCGTACCCTGACCCGCCCTCGCTTTCGCTCGGCAGCTCGAGCACCTGCCGCGCCCCGCTCCTCTCAGCCTCGCATGGCACGCCATCCGCCCCGCATGCCACGCCCTCGGCTGCGCCCAGCCCCTCGGCCGCCGCTGCCGCTGCGGTGTCGGCTCGTGCTGCGGCGTCCTGCCAGCGCCGCGACAGGTGGGCGGTCAGATCCCTCAGGGCCCCAAGATCTGGAAGTTCTAGCGCTGCAACCGCCATTGCTGCCAGCTGATACTCCTGCTGCGGCGGCTGGCGCCGCTCATGCGGCTCCATATCTGGATGTTGGACTTCGTATACCATTGACCTGGCCGCCGGCAGCGGCTGCCAGCGAGCGGGTGCTGGGGCTGCAGCTTCGGCCACCGCAGGCGCGGACGCAAGAGCAGAGGCCGGTTCGGCGGCCGGGAGCGTGCGCGCGGCCTCATAGCTCGGTGGAGGTGCCAGATGCTCGCTGGCGCCGCTGGCGATCGAGCGCTCGCCGGCGCAAAAGGCATCAGCCAACGGCTGCTGCTGCTGCTGCTGCTGCTGCTGCTGCTGCTGCTGCTGCTGTGCGGCCGGCTGCTCGTGTACAGGTATGGCCGGATCTGCAGCCGGTGGGGTGGCAAACCTTGGCGCGTTGGAGGCTGCGGCTACTGGGGCGGGCGTCCGAGCGTCCAGCTTGCGGCTGCTGTGGCTCTTGGGCCAGCACCTGGGCATCGGCCCCTCGTCTTCCCGTGGCCCCTGCAGCCTGGAGGCGCGCGCGGGGCCGCTGCTGCGCCCAAACGCCGCGAACACGCGCCGTTCCGCGCGGGTCGGTGTGCTGAGGGGGCAGCTGGCTGACGAGGGGGTGGCCGCGGGCGAAGCCGCCGCGCTGCCGGCCCGCGAGGCCAGGCGGGCGCCTACCGGCGAGCTGGCGCTGCTGTTTGCGCCTGATGTATGCTTGGGCATGTCTTTTCCGACCGCCAGCTCAGGCGGGCGCTCGCCCTTCATTGCCCCTGCTGCCAAGTACATGGGAGCAGAAAGCAGAGTCTCACAGAGAGTGCCGTGTAACACCAGGCGTTCGCATGACGCTGGTAGGGGTAGAAATCAAGCTGCTGAATGCTCGAACTGACCTGTTGGATGCCCGCACGCCTGCAGAGCAAGCCAAAGCGCATGCGCCTACGACAGCGTGTGTTGCTGCGCCCCGGCTGTGCACGCGCCCTTGGGCCAGCCGGCGCCACACCTGTCACCACTGAAGAGGACCTAGGATTTCACCGCCCACATGACGGCCTGAAGCCCCGCACGCAGTCTCGGCTGTCTTGGTCAAGTGCCGTCAAGGGGACAACGACACATAGGGCAATGTGTGGGGTTCAATTCGCAATACCAATGTGAAGGCTAGATGATCGCGCTGGGTCGATCGCGGCCGGTGCGCTGTCCTTTCAACAACAGCTCCTTGATTTTTCTATCACAGCTAGGACGCGCTGGGCCGCGTTATTCGGCAATCATCATAATGGATACATGTTTGCTGGAACATTACACAAGAAGGGAAGCGACCCAAATTCGATCTGCACAATTTTGGAGCACCTCAGCTGCACTCATCGAGGACAACCCGTCAGCACACCAATCCCTTAAGAATTTAGAAGGCCTATTATATATTTATTCAGCACACTCAGAAAGCGCAGCTGTAGGGTGCCCATTCGGCGACGTCTCGGCCGCCGCAGCCGCTGTCTCACCACCGCCGCCTCCGCTTGTGCTGCCGCCAAAGCATCGTGAGCACCGGGCGCCATGCGGCAGCTTAAACACCACGAGCGCAAGCTCCTCAAGAAGGTGGACTTTCTGCGATGGAAGAACGAGCACAACATGCGGGAGCTGCAGGTGCGCCGTGGACGACAGCGCAGGGCGTGGCGAGCTGCACTGGCCTGCGCGTCGCTTGATGCGCATGCCGCTGGTGCCGCACCCCTGCTTTTTGCGCCGCCGCTGCCGAGGCTTCACACGCCAGAAGGTGGTGCATGGCATGTGTTTTGTTGACCCGCGGGGGCCGACGGCACGCCCCAACCTCTGACCCCAAGCTGTCTACCGCAAACGCCCATCCTGTGCATCCAAGGCGATGCGGCGCTACCACATCCAAAACCGCGATGACTATAAGACCTACAACAAGATTGCGGGCATGATTACTAAGCTGACCAACATGCTGCGGCAGCTGGGCCCAGAGGACCCCACCCGCATCGAGCTCACAGACCAGCTGCTGGACAAGTGAGGAGGGCCTGCACAGGGCTGTAGCTTGGGGATGGCGAGTTGAGGGGGTGGGCAGATGGGAAAAGCGGGTAGGGGGGGGGTGTGAGGGTGGGGGCCAGGGCATGGGGTGATGGCTATGGGGTGGGGTCCTGTTTGGGGGACTGAGGTAGGTGGGACGCTGTTCGTATGTCGTTTGTCTGATGACTGCGGCTAGCCCTAGCTGAG